CGTTACCGCTCATAAGGTTTCTGCTTAGACCTGTCAAGTCGGTAACTACCTCCGTGCTCCACCAGGTTTCCAGCAGCTAAGACAGCCATAGTGAAAGATTTTTAGACCCAAGCAGCGACATTTCTGACTTCTTCAATTCTGATTTGTTACATTTCTTGCTAGGCATCTCTGCCGCCCATGCCATAACCGTGAGAAGGCTCGAGGTTTAGGCAAATACATCTGCCAGAAATGCCACGCCATCATCGAAGAGCAGCCGCTGATCTTTAAGAACGACCCGTATCACCCTGACCATTTCAACTGCAGCAACTGTGGGTGAGTAGAAGGTCCTTTCTCTCCCGCTGTCCTTCTGTAATAGGCCTTTTCTCTGCACACTCCCACCTCCAAACTACCTCCTCAATGACATGCTTTGTGCTTCTCGATGACGGGAACAAAGAATGTCATGTGTTGAAAAATGTCCAGTATTAGGTTGAATCTGTAATTCAATTATCTACTTTCTGGTTGGTAACAAGGTCAAAACCAATCTTGAAATAAGATGGAACAGAATTACAGAGGTATGAAGGAATTTGATAATGTTATGGGCATTGTGTTTTGCATTATTCATTCATTCCCAGGAGACCTTAAAGCAGGTCGTGCCAAACTTTTTAGTTAAAGGGCCTCTTTAGTTCGTCAGACTTGTCCAGGGGCCAACAACATGGATTGTAAAACTGTTTTGCTTGAATTAAGGCTGTTCTGGACTTTAAAATGTCGTATAATATCTCTAATGATTCACGCCCATTAACTGTGTATAGATGAATCTCAATTGGGAAGTGCTCATGGACAAAGTTTTGCTCCAACTCACTCTGGCTACTATTGACATTGAAAAGTAAACTCTTCAAGCTCATTAACCGTTTGTGTCACACTCACAAATCTGAGTGCATGTACCTCAATTGTTACTTTGTGTTAGCGGCCACATAGTTTTGTCTGTTTAGAGGCTTTCCAATGTGGACTCTTTACCCATGATGCATTGCGTGCATGCATTGGATGAGTGTTTAAGCCTGTTTGATGTTTCTGTTGTTATGCAAAATGTATCAACATTTCAAAGACGCCTCACATCGTCCAAATTGCTGATGTCAGTTATTTTAGTACGGGTATTTTGGCCTCAATGCTTTTGTCAGATCTTTTCCTTTTGAAACCAGTCAGATGGACCATGCAATTTTTCAAGTAGATGAGATAAGAACTTTCATAAGTAAGTTAGCGCAATATGGTAAAAAGTAGATTAAGTGACTTTCAATGGATTGAATTTACAGTACTGCACAGGATTTCAGTATTTACTTTCTGACAACAGCAGGAAGGAAAGACTTGTGAAACCTCTCCATCCTGCAGCGAGGTTGGGGCAGTCTGTCACTGAAGCTGCTCTCATAAAGAGCCCAGGGAGACCACGCACTATACGTCTGTAAATGTTTTGCAGCAGCAATAAAATGTCTCAATACCCAACAGACAACTCACCATACAGTAGGTAAATTCCGCCAGCTAAAGTCATTATTATGGATCATAAACTAGATATAGATTAGGGGTGGGAATTGGAATGATGTTGTCGATTGATGTTTCAATTTCGATTAGGGCTGCACGATATATCAAAAAACTATCGTTTTCGCGATATTGGTGCGTGCGATATCCATATCAAAAATATCTGCGATTAAAAAAAAGTATATTAATATTTTTCCTTTTTTATTAAAGACATAAAAACAGACGGACATATCAACATTCAACAATAACAACAAACAAACAAACAAAAAAGTATATAAATACAGTACAGACCAAAAGTTTGGACATTCCTCATTCAAAGAGTTTTTTATTTTCATGATTATGAAAATTGTAGATTCACACTGAAGGCATCAAAACTATGAATTAACTCATGTGGAATTATGTACGAACTAAAAATGTATGAAACAACTGAAAATACGTCTTATATTCTAGGTTCTTCAAAGTGGCAACTTTTGTTCTGATTACTGCTGCGCACACTCTTGGCATTCTCTTGATGAGCTTCAAGAGGTCTTGAAATAGTCTTCCAATAGTCTTGAAGGAGTTCCCAGAGATGCTTAGCACTTGTTGGCCCTTCACTCTGTGGTCCAGCCCCAAAACCATCTGTATTGGGTTCAGGTCCTAAACCCTCTGGAGTGGGTTCAGGTCCGGTGACTGTGGAGGCCAGGTCATCTGGCCCAGCATCCATCACTCTCTTTATTGGTCAAACAGCCCTTACACAGCCTGGTGTGAATCTACAGTCAATAGGCATGAAAAGAAATTCATTGAAATGAGAAAGTGTGTCCAAACTTTTGGTCTGTACTGTATATGCATTTGAATGTCACTAATGTTGTGCTTATTTTTTGTTATTTATCTCTTGCGTTTCCATGCAGATTGCAATTTTAGGTTAAAGACAATATCGCAATAATATTGTTATCACAATACTAAACACTCATATCGAATATCGCACCAATTTCCAATATCGTGCAGCCCTAGTTTCGATAGTATTACAATCTTTGGGCCACGATTCAATATTATTGCAACTCTTAACACATTGTGATTCGATTCTGCAATATATTGCGATTTATGTTCCTTATATTATTCAAAGGCATTTACAAAAACATGAAAATATGGTCTGTACATTAACTGAAGTGCAAAACATTGGAGAGTAGAGCAAAAATGTTAGCTTTGAACACTCAAGACACAGGACCTTATAACAGGACATAATTATTCCCTGAATAGGCGACCTTTCGCATGAATGGTGAGCTCCCGGCACATCCATCCATCCATCCATCTTCTTCCCTTTAATCCATTTCTGGGTCAGGGGGGTGGCAATCAGAGATGCCACCCAAGTCTCATAGCACCAGCCCCTCACTGACCCTCTGCAGGTGGTGAGTCCACAGGAGGACGGCACATAACTTAAATTATTCAAATACAATAAACTACAGTAACAAAAAGCACTAGGGTAACATAGTCCTTTGGTCTCTTGTAAATTACCAGTGTAAATTTACGAGAGCTGAGTATTTAGACGTCTAAAACTTAAGTCGTCAAATGGACTGCTCTGGGAGTTCTAGTGTTAAATTACTGCAGATTGAATAAATAAGAACTTTGTTTGTTGAATAGTTTTCTCTGTATTTGTGTAAATAGTAAAGAGCTGACTTCAGACGCGCGGGAGCTGAAAGGAGAGCTCTACTGTCTGCCGTGTCACGACAAGATGGGCGTCCCAATCTGCGGAGCCTGCAGACGGCCCATCGAGGGGCGGGTTGTCAACGCCATGGGCAAGCAGTGGCACGTTGAGGTACGCACACGGACTCGCACAAACACAACTCCAACGCTACTCATGGAAACAAAGTCTAGAGTCCAATATGCAATGAAATGTTTAGCGGCCCAAGTCCCTACACTCTGGAACACTTGTCTAAACATTTGGTTAGACAAACTTTGGAGAAGCGCTTACATTATTTATTTAACTTAAAACTTTATGTGTGACAGTCAAGCTCTAAAATTCTCTCTGTGCATTGAAATTGCAGTTATTTCTTTGTACCATTTATGAGTATGTGTGGAATATGACAGTGGCTCTTATTGTTGAAAATCGCTAAAATGTTTTTGTTTAAAGCATTTTATTGTTGAAAAGAGAAAAGAACATTTTGAATTTTATTTGGATTAGTTTTTATCAATTCCCAGGCATAACACTCGTATCGGCAAGTATTCAAATGAAGGTCGGTTAAACTCATATCGGTTTTGAAAAAAGTGGTATCGGTGCATCCGTAACTATCATCATAACCTCACAATCCTCTGTTCATGCTGCATTTTACCACTGTAGCGTTAAACATGGTACATTATCCCGCAGTTATTACATAGACTAAAGTTTTATTACGACTGCAAAAAATAAGTAGCTCTCTGCCATTCTCTGCTCTACACTTGAGACAGGACAAAAAAAGACTACTTTCAATACATAATCTACAATACCATGTAACCAAATCCATCTACTTAATTCCTCGCTCTCATTAAAGTTTTATTGACTCATTACTTACTGATGTTAGAGGGTCAAAGGACTTATGATCCGGGACATTTATTAACATTTATGAACATTGGTCTGCCCGCTCCCAATGGACTATTGTGCTGTCCTATGCGTTGGTTTTTATTGTACTTCCTGCAGTGATTCTACTTTCCACGGTAACATGAGAGCTTTCTAACCAATCTGACTGAACGGAGGCCTCGCTAGTGTTGCTCTTGCGCTTGTGCACAGAGAGACATGTGAGAGTTATGACCAATCAGAGACCAGCGAGCGAGAGAGACCAGCGAGCGAGAGAGACCAGAGAGCGAGAAAGACCAGCGAGCGAGAGAGACCAGAGAGCGAGAGAGACCAGAGAGCGAGAGAGACCAGAGAGCGAGAGAGACCAGAGAGCGAGAGAGACCAGAGAGCGAGAGAGACCAGAGAGCGAGAGAGACCAGAGAGCGAGAGAGACCAGAGAGCGAGAGAGACCAGAGAGCGAGAGAGACCAGAGAGCGAGAGAGACCAGAGAGAGACCAGAGAGAGACCAGAGAGAGACCAGAGAGAGACCAGAGAGAGACCAGAGAGAGACCAGAGAGAGACCAGAGAGAGACCAGAGAGAGACCAGAGAGAGACCAGAGAGAGACCAGAGAGAGCGCGGAGTTTGTGTGGATTTCTAGATTTGGTTGGAGACACTAAAATCCTCACAAAATCTGACCATGTGAATTTGCAGTGTCACAGGTGGCCTCATGTCCATGACGGGTTTAAGCAGCAATAGCCTATCCAGATAAGATAATACAACCATGGTTACCCCATATATACTGTATGAGTCCGACGGACGGAGGACACAAATGTGGTTATTCGGCCCAAAAAAGTGTGACCAAAATCGGGGCAAAAATTGCAATGTATACCCAGCATCAGAGAAACACATGTACTTTTCCCTTACAATCACTTGCAAGCGGTTAATTCAACTGTTTTTTTTCTTGGCTGACAGCATTTCGTGTGCGCTAAGTGTGAGAAGCCCTTCCTCGGACATAGACACTACGAACGTAAAGGACTGGCCTACTGCGAAACCCACTATAACCAGGTAAATATTCGTCGAGTTCGCTCTTTCACTAAACCTAATCTCCATGACGATTATGTGCCTTTTTACCCCAAACCTAAAAAATCTCACGGTTTCTCGTAGCTCTTTGGAGACGTGTGCTACCACTGCAATCGTGTTATCGAGGGCGACGGTAATGGCTCAAAACTAATCCCAGACCCTGACGCAATTATACATGTTTTACGCCCACATTCTTCTTGTCTCCAGTGGTTTCTGCTCTGAACAAAGCCTGGTGCGTCAGCTGTTTCTCCTGCTCCACTTGTAACACCAAACTCACTCTCAAGTAAGTTACATCTTCTTTTCAAAACAAACTCTTAATCTACTTCTAACTGCTTTTCAGAGGTGGGTAGTAGAGTTGAACATCATTCGTACCGACTCTCTGTGTGATAGAGGTGCTTCTGTTGTAATGGAGCTAAGGGTTTTATGGCTCTAATGATAAAAAGACTGAAGTAGATTCTCAGTGACAGCCTTTAGCGTTCATGTTTCACCGATTAGCAGTGATGGAATGTTAAACTGAGTGGAAATCGTTTTGACCGGTTCCCACTGGCCTCCTCCATAACGGTGTAAAACTGCTTTCGAGTTGGTTTACATAGAGTTAACGGGACTGTTTTTAGAATGCACTATTAATCCCTCGATATGTGTGCTAAAATTACAACTAAACCATATGTCGCCATAAAGATGTGGAGGCTTGGAACGAAACCAAACACACTGGATTTTACCAATGAATCTGGCAACCCAATTGTGACTTTTTTCTTCTGTCTGATAGGATACTGCGCTAACATACACTGTGTTTTGTTTAGGTGGTTCTGAATAAATCAAAATGTTCTCTCTGAGACATAGATGCTGCATTATTTTAGAAGTAGTTCAATCTGCCATCGCTTGTCTCATTGAAGGACACAGTCTGAGCCACTGAACAACCAAATATCTACTAAAGAAGACTAGATGAACTTTCCTAGACTATCCATGAATTACGTTTGACACATTACGTTTGACTCATTAAATAGTAAATTCAAACACAATATTTTATGAATCCGTTAAATCGCATGGAACTAACCTGCTTTGAGACCACGGAAAATGGGCTTTGACCCAGTGGCAGAGTCGGTTTTCCAAATTCCTGCGGATAAAGTTCCATTTGTACTAGCACTACCCACCTCTGCTTGTGCCTGTCTCTAACACGTGTCCGCTCCTAACACCTGTCTCGTCCTGTGTCTCCTCTGCTTCTTCTCCTCCTGCTGCTGTTCGTCAGAGATAAGTTTGTAGAGATCGACTTGAAGCCCGTGTGTAAACACTGCTATGAGCGTTTGCCCGAGGAGCTCAGGCGCCGCTTGGCCCGTCGTGAGCGTGACGCTAAAGACTGCAAGAAAAAACCCTCCATCTTTCTCTGAATCCCCTCTCCATGTGACTGAAACATGTTCCCAGTGTGTGACCCAGTGTATGCTAAAAGGTCCTTTTAAAGTTGATACATTTTGTCTTGCCGCTTACATCTTGGAGTACTATTAAACAGTCATTAATAGATCCTTTATTCGTCCCAAATGGGGAAAGGTCACTTACAGAACAGTAGGAACGAGGAGCACACAACACAAGAGTATTAGTGAAAATTAAGTATAGAAAAAAAATTACTTTCAGAGAAATAAAATAAAATCTCAATCTTTGGCTTAAAAAAGGAACACAGTATTATATACAGTATACTCTAGTGCAGGCCTGTCCAAACTAAGGCCCAAGGGCCAATTGCGGCCTGCTCATTCTACCAACCCAAAATACCATTGAGATTATAAATACAAGTTCATAGTTTTATCCAGCCAACTTCTGCTTCTCCAACACAGGCATGTTGTACCTCATTGTAAAGCTCAGAACCTTTTAATCCATTTATGTGTAAGAGTATGACGATATAACGGTACATCGTTATACTTTATATATTTTGACTGGTATTGAAGCATTTTCAGCATCTACAGCTAGTTATGTTAGCTAAGAAACATAGCTACTAATTATTTGTATATATTGTGTGTGCTCCCTGTGTGCTCTTACTACTGTCCTACGTATATGTGCGCTGCAACATTGAAATTTCCCCACTGTGGGACGAATATTATTTTCTCCCACGATCAATTATCGATATGCATTTGCCAAGTATCGATTTTGAATTATTATTTTTTTCAAATTAGTATCAATACTTAATATATGACTACAGTACGCATCTCCATTCCATATGTGTAAATGGTAATCTTAAACCTCATTTAGCATCTCAAAATAGACCAATTCTAGTCAAAATAATTGTATAATCCGTGTTGTCTGCTCCTGGACAAGTCTGGCATACTAAAGTGGCCCTCTTAGTTAAATGTTTGGACACACTTGCTCTAGTGCAATAAATATATACTTGCACGTATGCATACAGTATATAGTTAAATCTGCCATACACTGTAGTGCAAGTTTATCAAGTGCTAATAACTCATTAGCTCTGACAATTCAAATATTCTGTGATGAAAGCAATTGTTAGCATTCATATTTCATGGTGACCGCTTTTAAATAATCTTGTGATGTCGAAGACCCCACCTCAGTCTTGAATGAGTTGTATTTCATCTTTCTCACTACTAATATTCATGAATATCCTTAGCACCTTTTCTGAACGACCGACTGATTCGTCTAACGGAAGCACTGGTCACATGATGTCTCTGCTTCTTTTCAGGAACAAATTTGTTGAGTTTGACATGAAGCCGGTTTGTAAAAAATGTTACGAAAAGTTTCCTCTGGAGCTGAAGAAGCGACTCAAGAAACTGGCCGAGTCCCTGGCACGCAAGTGAAGCGGTGCCGCAGCCGCCTCACAGAGCCCTGCCCTCTGCATTTTAACACAATGTGGCCTTGAAATCGCAAATATATACTCTGTAATACCAGTATTCTAGAAAACCAAACGTCATTTTTTTATATGAATTAGCTTTTTTATATGCATTCCTAAGTTGTATCTCCGTCCTGCATCATTTAGTTAGTTTGCTCTTATGTGCCTTAACTTTAGAATATAGATCTTTCTCAAAAAAAAAGATCTTATAGTGGTACATTTCACAAGTAAATAATAACAGTGTTGTTCATGCGTGTTCAAAACTAAATGCCATATGAGCATACAAACATACATAACTTAATATCTAAAATATTCTGATACTATTAAGCTATTGCATTACACATCTCATGTCTACCGTCGTCTGATCAACTTATTTGTCTTTTGTACGTGTGAAAAGTATATCGATATTTCTTGTACTGTAGTTGCTTGGGGGAATTTCGCTGGTATTTTAAGCTTCTCTTAAATCTCGTTCCCTGGGACAAAGTTCAAAGAAATTCAGATGAGCAGAATATTTCACACTCAATCTTTTGAAGTCAAGCCTGTAATGAGTCAGCGTGTTGCTCAGGGCGGCATCCTAAAAGAAATATTTAGCAAAGTTGTATATGAAAAGATAGGCATTTTTTATTATGGTACCGATGCATTTCTCTTACCATGTGTTTCCTGTGATGGTTGACGCTAAAACGTATGCAAATATCATGCTGCAGTTAAGAATGTAATCAAAAGCTTTACTCAATAAAATGGTGTTCTAACATTCTCTCTTTATTTATGTCACATTACTTTTCAGCATCGAAAGACAACTTGTGGAAGCTATTGATGTTTAGACAAATTCATTACAAAACACAAATCGGTGAGTGGATAACTTATGATTAAAACTTTGCTCTATTGTGTGACTTGGTATTACACTGTAGTAGGGCTGCTGAAGACCAAAAAGCGTGATATTTGAAAATAACTAAATCAGATACGCAGATACAATCAGTAACGCAAGCTCTAAAAACAATCACACATCAAACTTGAACTCTCAAATAATAATTTTACTATTTATGCACGAATCTAAAAACATGAATGACCATTTTATCAATAGCTTTAATGAACTACCTTTTGATAAAGATTGAAAGTTACATCCAGAAATCAAAAAGCCTTGAGCAAATGAACTGATATGATTGGTCTATAATGGTCAAGCTAAACTACATTTATCCACATAGGGCCATTTTGTCCTCATTTAACCTGTCCTGCAACGCCACCAGGTCTGTCAGGACACAACAGTGCTCCCTGCTCGGCTCCGTCAGAACTACTACAGACATGGGGAAAGCATGCAAACTCCATTTAGAAAGGTTCTGACGAGCGGGAATCAAACCCCGGACCTCCTTGCTGAGAAGCGAGATGGCTAACCACTCTTTCATTGCATTGATTAATCTAAAAATAAAAATAAATGACCGTCTACAAAGACTATCTAAATATCTAAAGACTCTACACTTTAGTTGAGTTGTAAACCATCCCTAAATAAAATATTGTACAATATTTATTAAGGGTCATTTGTTGATTCATACAAAAAACATTTTCTTACCAAATAAAACACTTGATTTGAATTTGAACACATAACGTATTGTAAAATTACAAATATACATTGTTGATCATCTTGAACCTAAAGTGCAACCAGACATTCTTACAGAAAGAAATCACAAATGTTTAACCAAACTAATGAAAATGTTCACCGCTTGTTGGTGCCTGTTGGTGCCTGTGAAGATGGTGCCGGGGTCTCTGCGGTGAAAGCTCAGGTTTATTTGTTTTGAAAGTCAGAAATCTCATCTTAAACTTTGCCCACTCTCCGTATGTCATGCTGAAGAGTTCCTTCAGGTCTTTTCTGTCTCCAAACACCAACGCAGGGCCGTTCAAGTCATTGGCTTTTACAACGTCAATGTACTTGGAGAAGTCCATCTGCTCCAGCTAAAGAAGAGAAGTGTGCATTTAAAACTTAGCTAAACGGGAAAAAGGATGAGAAGGGCTTCAATTTGATTCATGAATTTTCAGAAAGCAACTTATGTCGTTTCCAGCATTAGGGCAAACTGCACATTCATACGTTTAAGTAAATACATCTTTTATGTTCTACTATACTGAGTCAATACACACAGAGGCAAAATATAACTTTTATTGTAGGGTATTCACCACCTGCTTTTTGCCACTTTATTCATAATCCAGTTCCCAGTATAAAAAAGAAAAGAAAAACAAGCTAGTTTCCAAGGACATGGCTACATTTAATGCCATCCTTTGGACTGTTATCTTTTTTCCACTAGGTTGTTCCTTGCAGATTCCTGGAGGGTCTGAGGGCAGTCATGATCCAGGACATTTATTAACATTTATGGACAGTGGTCCTCCCGCTCCCTATCGACCAATGACTCCTACGTATTTGCTATTGTTGCATCTACTGTACTCAAACTGTTTGACCACAATAGTAAGCCAGTGGTTGTCCCTACCTTGGAAAAAATTCAAAGTGCACTTTTAGAACTAATTTAAAAATGAATGTGCTGAGTTTGCCTGAATGATAGAACTTTCATAATGTAAGTAAGTAAGTAAGTTTTTATTTATATACCACCTTTTCACTGCAGATCTGAGTCTCAAAGCGGTTTACAATTGTTAATTATGGGCATTTGTCTCTCACTCCACACAGAGATGGGAGCGGGGCCAGTACAGGAGGCACATGCCAGAACTATTGGACATATTTTTAGTGGTAGGGGAAACCGGAGTACCCGGAGGAAACCTACGCAGACACGGGGAGAACATGCAAACTCCACTCAGAAAGGCCCTGGTCCGACCGGGATTCGAACCCAGGACCTTCTTCCTGAGAGGCGAGAGTGCTATCCACTCAGCCACCGTGCCCCCCTAATGTGTGATTGGAGATTGATAAAATGTAAAGGTGGCTAAAAACACGTCTCTTACCTCTCTACGAACATCGTCAGTTTACATGTTTATAATGGTTGTGATCGGGAGCGGGGCCAGACTCTTCTTCCATCTGGAATCCTTCAACGTTGACGTCCCTCTTATTCTTGCCATTTCCCTTTTAATGGAATGGTCCAAATTCACAGTGACCGTTTCCAAAACATCCAAATCTTTCATGGTGAACTTGAAATCCTCCTTGAGAAACATTTCAAACAGTTCTGGGTCTCCGTCCTGCTCAAGAAACTTGTCAATGTGCTCCTTCATGACATGCAGTTCTGCTTTAGATCCTTCGAACACATCCCAAAGGGTTTCTAATTGGTTGACGCTCGTACCCTCGATTTCTGCGCGCTGCTTCTCGTCCTCCACACATTGCATGATCCAGCTGAGGCGGCACGGCCAGTGGTTTGCAAGGACCACCCAAGCTGCTATGTTTTCCATCGAGGGTATCTCTGTGTGCAAGGCCTTCATGATAAACAGAACCATTCGGAAAGAGTTCATCACCCTTCTCATAGACATCGCATCGTCTGAAATGTATTTAGTCAAATTTTTCTCACTGTTTTTTGCAAAACTTTTAACCATCATGTCAACTTCCTCTTCGTTAACTTCAAAGTCAAGTTTGGAAGTAATTAGAGGATTCATTTCATGGTCCATCGAGACCTCCACTGAATTGGTAGAGGATTTATTGTTACTTGGGTTATTTTTGTTAAAGTTTGCAAGGTTGTAAAATAAAGTACGTCTTGACTTATCGCACAAAGGCGGGATGGTAAATGGTAAAGTGACAATCCGATTCAATAACGCGTGGGCTTGGTCCTCTTTCACAAAGCAGTAATCTGCAAAGTTCACTTTCTGGACCAGAACTTGGGGATTGACAGCGAGAATTGATATGAATGGGCTGTCTTCCTCCGATAACAAGATATTTATAGCATCCAGAACGGAGACTATTTTCATCGGCGAACAGCGATCCAGGTTGGTTATTTGTAGAACTATCCGAATCCGACGCCTCTCGAAGACTTCCATGAACTGAACAAAACGAGTCATAACCCAAATTTCTTTCCGCACCTCGTTCATGAACCCGAGTTTAGAGCTGACGTTTTCGCTGTCCATCCCTCGTCTGATGTTGTAATCTTGGGAAAATATAAGGTTTTTTCCAGTCGAGAGGAGAAATCGTACAGCACTTGCGGCGGGAACTCCGAAGGATGCAATGACCAGGCCTTCAAAAACGTGGAGGTGGCTTTTGGTGCCGTTGTTAGGGACGGCGCTGGGGTCTGGGTCAGGGAGGCCAAATATCAGGAAGAAGATTAAGACGATCAATGGGACGAGCAGAATCAAGACAAAACACAGCCACAGCGGGATGCAGCAACACTTCTTGGACCTCCAGTTGTATGCAGAGTCTTCAATTTTCTAAAACCAAGCAAAGTCTGTTGTAAGTGACACAAATGGTATGTAAAGGTGAAAGGTTTTTAGAATATCAAAAGTTAATTTATTTCTGTAATTCAACTTCAATGTAAAACCAACATATGATTTAGACCAGGAGTGTCCAACTCTTTTTGGCCAGGGGCAAATTAAAATAACATCTCCTTTTAGGTTGAAAGTATAAACTAGTTTGAAGTATTTTCTTGTATCTGTTGATACTGTATGTGTATATGCATTTATTACATTATGAAAGCATTTAGACAAAAGGGTTAGGCCAATAATTTAGGTTTTTAAATTAACAATTTCTACATGCATGTTTTGTTTAGAGTTTAGAATAAAATAAACAATATGTTTTCTGGGACTTTCTGGGACTCCTGAGGCAGCTGTCCAGTACCGGCAGGCCAAACGTGCCGCGGCCCGGGCTGTTGCAGAGGCAAAACCCCGGGACTGGGAGGGGTTCGGAGAGTCCATGGAGCATGACTATCGGTCGGCCTCGAAGAGGTTCTGGCAAACCGTCCGGCGCCTCAGGAGGGGGAAGCAGTTCTTTGCCAACACCGTGTATGGTGCGGGTGGAGGGCTGCTGACCTCGACTGGGGATATTGTCGGGCGGTGGAAGGAATACTTCGAGGTTCTCCTCAATCCCCCCGTCACGTCCTCCGTCCAGGAGGCAGAGGCTGAGGATGTTGGGGCGGATACTTACATCTCCCTGGCCGAGGTCACCAAGGTGGTTGGCAGCCTCCATGGTGGCAAGGCGCCGGGAGTGGATGAGATCCGTCCTGACTATCTAAAGTCTCTGGATGTTGTAGGACTGTCTTGGCTGACACGTCTCTGCAACATCGCGTGGCGATCGGGGGCGGTACCAATGGAGTGGCAGACCGGGGTGGTGGTCCCTCTCTACAAGAAGGGGGACCGGAGGGTGTGTTCCAATTATCGTGGGATCACACTCCTCAGCCTCCCCGGTAAGGTCTACTCCAAGGTACTGGAGAGGAGGCTACGTCCGATGGTCGAATCTCGGATTCAGGAGGAGCAGTGTGGTTTTCGTCCCGGTCGCGGAACACTGGACCAGCTCTATACTCTCCATCGGATACTCGAGGGTTCATGGGAGTTCGCCCAACCTGTCCACATGTGCTTTGTGGATTTGGAGAAGGCGTTCGACCGTGTTCCCCGGGGTGTCCTTTGGGGGGTCCTCCGGGAGTACGGGGTCCGGGGTCCTCTGCTGAGGGCTGTTCGGCCCCTGTATGACCGGAGCCAGAGCTGTGTTCGCATTGCCGGCAGTAAGTCAGACCTGTTCCCGGTGCATGTGGGCCTCCGCCAAGGCTGCCCTTTGTCACCGGTTCTGTTCACTGTATTTATGGACAGAATTTCTAGGCGCAGCCAGGGGCCGGAGGGGGTCCGGTTCGGGAACCACAGGATTTCATCTCTACTTTTTGCGGATGATGTCGTCCTGCTGGCTCCAACGAACCAGGACCTGCAGCATGCACTGGGACGGTTTGCAGCCGAGTGCGAAGCGGCTGGGATGAGAATCAGCTCCTCCAAATCCGAGGCCATGGTGCTCGACCGGAAAAAGGTGCCTTGCCCTCTGCAGGTGGGTGGAGAGGTCCTTCCTCAAGTGGAGGAGTTCAAGTATCTCGGGGTCTTGTTCACGAGTGAGGGGAGGATGGAGCGTGAGATTGACAGGCGGATCGGTGCAGCGTGCGCAGTGATGCGGTCGCTGTATCGGGTACAGAGGGAGTGGTAAAGAGGGAGCTGAGCCGAAAGGCGAAGCTCTCGATTTACCGGTCAATCTTCGTTCCCTCCCTCACCTATGGTCATGAGCTGTGGGTAATGACCGAAAGAACGAGATCGCGGATACAAGCGGTCGAAATGAGCTTCCTCCGCAGAGTGGCTGGGCGCTCCCTTAGAGATAGGGTGAGGAGCTCGGTCACACGGGAGGAGCTCGGAGTAGAGCCGCTGCTTCTCCACGTCGAGAGGAACCAGTTGAGGTGGCTCGGGCATCTGTTCAGGATGCCTCCTGGACGCCTTCCTGGGGAGGTGTTCCGGGCACGTCCCACCGGGAGGAGGCCCCGGGGAAGACCCAGGACACGCTGGAGAGACTATGTCTCTCAGCTGGCCTGGGAACGCCTTGGGGTCCCCCCGGACGAGCTGGAGGAAGTGTGTGTGGATAGGGAAGTCTGGGCGTCTCTGCTTAGACTGCTGCCCCCGCGACCCGGCAACGGATAAAGCGGAAGAAAATGGATGGATGGATGGATATGTTTTCTTCATTACATTATCTTTAAAATGAGATGTCATGGCAGCTCATATTAACATAAGTGCTGTAAGTTAATTGTATTAATAATAATAATCCTTTCAGAGGCCTCTAAAAATGGTCTGGTGTTCCATTTGGCCCAAGTGTATTATTATGACTTACAGTTCATCCTAAAAATAAAAATATAAATCTGAAATTTTCTATTAGAGGTTTTTAAAAGCTGTGAGCCACTTTTTTATTTTTATTTATTTATTCGAGCTTACACATTTACGATGTATCTTAAACATGTGCATGCATTTTTATATGCATTTACATTAAACAGAAATTCATATGAGTAAAAATACATAACGTATGCCAAAAATGTTATACACAGCTCAAAAAGGAAGTAAGAAGTAAACTTATGTACCCTCTCATTTGTCATAACAAAGAAAAAGTTTGACATATCTGAAATTTATACTTTTCAAAGTTTCAACTGTAATTGTCTTTTAAATTCATCCCTTTTTTCATCCTTTTTCTCTTTGTGCATCTGCTCTTGTTTTTTTGGTTGTTATGACCCGACTCAAAATGTTAAAGTATGCGAAGCTTGTTATCCCTGCCGTGTCAAGTCCTGAATAATCTCCTACACTTTTCATACACATAAGCATCGTCACCGCACTCTGTCGCCCTGAGCCAAAATCAAACCGAGCTTTGCCGTTCTTTTGTTTCTATTAAAACAAAGCCAAACTTTGTTGCGCTTCTTTCATTGACTTTTGACAAATTGTGTTTAGTTTTCATTCATTTCTTTAATTTTTTTCTCCATTATTCCTCATTCACTGCCACTTTTATATGGATAAACCATATTGTTGTATTTCAATAACTGAAAAACACATGAAGAGTGAGCCCTGTGTGTCACAATTGGACTCTTTGGGCTCTTTGGGCATTCAAAGATGTGACAAAGGCCTCCATGTGAAAACTAGTGATTTTTATAGCCAGGAACTATGTGACTGGGATTTTTTTTAAATACTTCCAATATTGTGGCTTGAAACCTAGCTTTAAACACTTTTGTATCATCTCCTTGTACTGTATGTATTCATTCATCCAACCGCTTATTATTGTACTAAGTTTGTACAATTATAAAGTAATACCATAAGGGCCTCTGTGGGAATCAGGGACCAGAACCGCCAGAGCTGGAATGATTTTACCTATTGTATATTTTATTTAGTGGTAAGGGAAAACCGGAGCACTCAGAGGAAACCAGAGCAGACATGGTTAAAAACATGCAAACTCCACTGAGAAAGGCCCTGACTGGAATGAAAAAAAAAACGTTCCTTAAGTTCGCATAAAGGTTTCTTTTCTGTGCATGTCTTGGTGTAGATCTGGCCACATACATTATACTGTTCCATGATCTCGCTGTAAATATGAATATAAATATAAAATACTAATGAGACTCTGAGGTGCTGCTTGTTTTTATGTTGTGACTTTAGTAGACGGTAAATTAGTGTACACTTTTTATGTCCGAGCAATGCCTGGACTTCATTATTTGACTTTCTCACTGTTTATTGTTTGTTTCCAACTAAGCTGCTGCCTTTCAGTTAAGCAAGCAATAATGAGTCCGGCGATGAAAGACCCCAATGACATCTGTAAAAAGTATAAGCTGTGTTTTCAGACTATAATAAAAACTTTTTATCATCCACGAAATGTTGGAACACAATACCATGGATGTATTCACAATGGTCAGGTTTGTTGAAGAAATATGAATACTTTCTGTGAGTGATTGCATAGGGCTTAAATACTGTACCTCAATAATCCATTACCCCAGGCACCATCACAGTACTAACCAGGGCAGGGCCTGGTTAGTTCTGTGATGGGAGACCTCTAGAAACACCAGGTGCCAAAGTTAGTCAGCTGCACCTGTAATGTGCCAAACAGTTGTTGTGTCCTTAGGCAAGACACTTCCCCCACAATGCCTAGAATGAGTCTGGTGTGTGTGTGTGTTAATGGTTGGCAGTGGTACGTCGATGGCACAGACTTGTGGCCTTGCTTCTGTCAATCTGCTCAAGAGCAGGTGTGGCTACATTAGTTGTTTATCACCAATGTATATGAATTTACTGAATAATGACAAAGTGAGTATCCAAAAAATGCCATAACAAATTTCAGGGCTTCAACTTGTGTTTCATATGTCATAAAAATGTGTGAATTAAGTTAGTAAGTAACATTTTAGATGGATTCTACATCTGTACTATAGTGTCCATCCATCCATTTTCTTCCGCTTTATCCGTTGCCGGGTCGCGGGGGCAGCAGTCTAAGCAGAGACGCCCAGACTTCCCTATCCACACACACTTCCTCCAGCTCGTCCGGGGGGACCCCAAGGCGTTCCCAGGCCAGCTGAGAGACATAGTCCCTCCAGCGTGTCCTAGGTCTTCCGCGGGGCCTCCTCCCGGTGGGACGTGCCGGGAACACCTCCCCAGGGAGGCGTCCAGAAGGCATCTTGAACAGATGCCCGAGCCACCTCAACTGGTTCCTCTCGACGTGGAGAAGCAGCGGCTCTACTCCGAGCTCCTCCCATGTGACTGAGCTCCTCACCCTATCTCTCAGGGAGCGCCCAGCCACTCTGCGGAGGAAGCTCATTTCGACCGCTTGTATCCGCGATCTCGTTCTTTCGGTCATTACCCAAAGCTCATGACCATAGGTGAGGGAGGGAACGAAGATTGACCGGTAAATTGAGAGCTTAGTGTGACTATATTACTCATATAGTGTACTATAGTGTGACATCACAAAACTTATTTTGCCAGTTCAAAAACATTTTTTCAACTTTTCTCCACAAATGAATTTAGAGCAAATGCTGATTGATGTCATGCAAAATTATAATCTATATTTAAAAGCTCTCACTAGATAAAAAACCACAATAGATACACACTATAAAGCCGGGAGAATCGTGCACCAACCTTTTTCTTGACCTCATCCTCTTCCTGGTACTGAGCCACTCGATGCAAAACCAGCTGCAGTTTGCCAAAATTCACCTTCATGGCATAGAAGAGCCGCAGTGCCAGTCCTGCCCACAAGAGGTCACTGCCAGCAAAATGCCAGGCGCTGAATTGCACGTGGATGAAGCGCACGTGGTGGTGGTTCAGGTTCTGTTGGGTCCAGATGGGTTTGAAGAACAGCAGCTTCCAGATCAGAGAGGCACAAGAGCAGAGAGAGCGCTGCTGCCCACGCCGGGACTCTGAGCGCAGGTGCACTGGGGACAAGGAACATGGTCCGATCATAGACTGCATATAGATGGACAATGCTAACCTGCTAGTTCAATGAAGCCAAATGTGGAAGTGCTCATGTACAAAGTTTTGCTCCAACTTGTTCTGGCTCTCATTAACTTACATTGAAAAGTAAACTCCTCTAACTCAGGAGCCATTTTGGGCTTGAAAAGTTTGGTGGTTTAGTGCTATCTGTGATCCTCGGATTTTTGTTTTGATATTGACTTTGTAAATCCAGATATGAGCCATAAGGATTGAGCAATCAGATGTCTTCGTTCAAGGGGGAAACTCCAGCGCGCCGTAGCAACCATGATAGCAATACATTAATTTGCATCTGGCCATGCTATGGCGTGCGGCTAACTCTGTCTGAACAAATGTCTATAAGCTAGCTGGAGCTAATTTTCTTATGTTCAAATCAACCTCTTCCGCATTTGGCAAACACTCTGGTGACATCAGCACTCAGTCGGTCCACTCCTGATATATGCTCTATCTATGTGAATGATTGAAGTCCATCAAATATTCTAAAAAACCTCTGGTCCATGAGTCTCCAACCTATAGTAAAGAAGCTACCAGTAGCTCGCCTCTTCAAAGTAGCTGCCCAGATTTCATGAGTAAGTATACAAATGGTTATGGGAATAACACTTCACGACAAAAAATGCCAATAGAACGATACTTTTGCAAAATAAAACTAGAATGTCAAAATGTTCAAGATAAAAAGTACTTAATCCATTGAAGCTCAACATTTTTTAAACCTTTTAAAAGGAGTTGCTCTCCAAGGGAAAACGTTTTGAGATTTCTGCTCAAGTCAATATTATATTTTAAGACTCATGAATAGTTTTTGTTCATGTGACATCAAAACAGTCTATAGTTTACAATGATGGTGGAGAGCAGCTGAAAAGTCTTTATTTGTAACTAAAGTAACTGTCAAAAGTCACTCCTACTCTCAAACTCCTGGTCCAATCTACATGGAACAACAAACTGGTCTCATTTGTTTCCCAATACGGTGTCTAGAAGTGGTGACAATATATATATAAAAAAACATGCATTATACTGGCCAGTGGAGAGGACTTTCTGACAAAAGAGTTGCTTTGTGGGTCTAATCTCTAATCACAAATGATGTTCTGGGAATTATTTTTCACAAAATTACTTCTAATTCCCATAGAGTTGTATTAACACCTGCCCTTCAAACTTAAATACAATTCTACAACATAAACGTAACTTATAGACCCCATACTCAATTTCAATACCATAGTGATGATTTTTTTTCACAATAATATTTATCCTAAAGTGGCTCAGGAAAGGCCACATTTATCATTTAGCTGGAACTTTTATTATTAGTGTCAGTAGCTCCATTATAGTGTGGGGATTTTTGTTTGTAAATGCTGTGTGTGTGTGTGTATAAGATTATATGAGATTACATCCATTCATTCATTCAGTGTCCATGGAAACAAGTGGCTCACAGTCAAGTCTGGGAAAAGATTTCACTCAAGTTTCATGTTTTTAAACTTTTTTTTGCAGATGAAAACGGCTGTAATTGAATTAATATCACATTGGCGAGGTTAATGTCATAATGCCAAATACTGCTAAGCATATTCCACGAAAAGAAAACCTTGCAAGAAATAATAACACGGTGCACAGTTGCTAGATCCGAGGGTCACAGAATCATCAAAACAAAATGTATCTTTTGAATGGGACAAGTCTTCCTCCCTCTACCATTCTAAAGAGCTGTGTGTGCATCCATTCAGTGCAACATGACCCTGGGACATAAAAGCTTCATAAGTAAATGCCACATTCTCACCTTCCATCTGCTCGAGCACGAGGTTGATGCGGTCCTCACATGTTGAGTACAGCCCCACCGTGGCCGGAGCCCTCACTCTGGTCAGGGTCTTGGACAGGGCATAGGCATAAACATCATCTGGAAGGACAGGTGTTTGTCAATGATGAAATAATGAAGCATGGTTCTATAGTTTTTCTATGACTAATGTACAGTATATGCGTGTGAACTGGTCTGCCCCTCCCTGTCTGGAAGCCTCTTCAGTCCTGGATCTACAGCCTCAGTCCTGGATATACAGCATCAGTCCTACATCCAGAGCCTCAGTCCTGGATCTACAGCCTCAGTCCTGGATTTACAGCATCAGTCCTACATCCAGAGCCTCAGTCCTACATCCAGAGCCTCAGTCCTGAATCTACAGCCTCAGTCCTGGATCTACAGCCTCAGTCCTGGATCTACAGCCTCAGTCCTGGATATACAGCATCAGTCCTACATCCAGAGCCTCAGTCCTGGATCTACAGCCTCAGTCCTGGATATACAGCATCAGTCCTACATCCAGAGCCTCAGCGCTACATCCAGAGCCTCAGTCCCAAATCTACACCCTCAGTCCTGGATCTACACCCTCAGTCCTGGATCTACAGCCTCAGTCCTGGATATACAGCCTCAGTCCTGGATCTACAGCCTCAGTCCTGGATCTACAGCCTCAGTCCTGGATCTACACCCTCAGTCCTGGATCTACACTCTCAGTCCTGGATCTTCAGCCTGCCTGCCCACGGGAGCAGAACCCCTCTCTCATTATGGGATCCCCCCTGATGTTTCAAAACAATTTTCCCCACTGGGTTTTTGTGAATCATTCTTTGCCAATGCTGGGTCTAAGGACAGTGATGATTCAAGACATTCAAGGACAATGGCTCCTGTGTGTTTGTTAGTTTTGCAGACATGTGTTTGAACTGAATCGAATTCGTGACTGAATCTGTACAATGATTTCCTCCGTGAATGGTTGACCTTTTAAATCTGATCGGAGCTTTAGCATGCGGAAAACGTAATATGAAAACGACCTGAAAATATGTAATGAAAAGCAATTTCAAAATGTTGCCTTGGGCATTCTTTTCCATGGGAGAATGAGCGCTGATCTGATAATACTCAGGGCCATCACTTCACAATATGCACTTTGGAAATATCTTGTTGTTTAAATCTGCTACATGAACACGCTTGAGTTGTACAAGTTGAAATTAAAATCTAGAGAAATGATTGCAATGTGATCATATTGCTTTTTTATATAGTGGGGAAAAAATGCGTATACAATAGGACTGAAACAAGTACAAAAAAATACTTTAAGTCCTTCTTGGCCCTACTCAGCTCTACTCTACTCGGCTCTACTCTACCTGATTGTGTTTCCATCATGTTTTAGTACAACCCACCCACAACAAACTAGTATCTGTGGAAATGTCTTGGTATCCATGGCTTCTTACAGTACTCTGAACAGCAGGTATTAAAATGGTACCTGGCACTGGTTAAACAGGGCCAGTGGAAACGCTACCAATCGCCAATAGAGTAAAGCAGAGTAGAGTAGGGTCAAGTAGGGCAGGTGGAAAAGAGGCTTATAATTTCATTGACAATACATACGATAAACACCATTGCTCTCAATACCTTTATACATGTTCACGGGGAAATAATTCTTGCAGGCATAGAAAAGTTGGAATTTTACCGATACAGGAGAAGCCCACGGGGGGATCTTTCCAATATTAACTCTAACTGCAGACATCAGTCTACTTCGTGGTCTCATGTGAACGCACTAATGAGCTACGAGATTTACATGAATTAAGAGGAAAAACTAATTATTGTTAAATTCAGATACATCTATTAACCTGCTCTGGTGTCCTTGGTGTCTGTGGGAAGCTATAGGTGAGAAAATATTGATGTTTTTAAAGTTATTTTTCATTTGTGTGAGAAACTAGGCCTCAGATGTGCCAGCATAATTTACTATAAGTCCAATATATGACTGGATTTACGTAGAAATATATCGGGTTTATAAAGCACTATTTTCAGGCATGTTTGCTGATCTTTCTTTAAAGGTACTCTGTGTAATTTTTACAGTTGATCCAAATGAAAAAAAATGTTAACCAATAACAAATGTGACCATTTTAGAACATTTATCTCCACCATGTTTTTTTAATTGTTTTCATAGGCATAGAAATTGATTTATAAATGTCCATGAGAGCTGGAGGACTCTCCATGTCAATGCGCCATCTTGATATACAGTGGTTGATAAGGGACAACAAAGAGTTTGACCGGGAGTTTGACCAGAGCACCTAGAGGACACCTACTCAGACACAGGGAGAACATGCAAACTCCACTCACAAAGGCCCTGTTTGGAGGTGGAATCAAACCCGAGAGATCGAGGAAGTGCTTATACACTTGCTTTAAATTGCTAAATAATCACAATGGTCCACCTCCAAAACTGAAACAATTTAGGGTCTGAAACTGTAGTACTCTTACATTTGCTGATTGTTGTTGGTCCTGATGCTGTTTGCGTTGTTTCAGCAGTTGCTGATCCTGAAATCCTGGAGTGTAAGTAAGTTTCTCAATCACTGCCCCTGTGTATATGTGGGAAAGTGAACTTTTAACAAGGACTTTTAACTGCTTTTATTTGTGTGATGTGTTTTGTGTGTTTTTTATATTTTTATTGCATGGATTTTAATCACAGTTCCTTGGACACTTCCCCTAATCACCCACACCTGCTTCTAATCAAGACTATCTTAAATTGGGGGCGGGCACTACAGGCGGGACGACAGAGCACGAGGGAGACGAGGGAGCACGAGGGAGGAAGAGGCAGCACGAGGGAGGAAGAGGCAGCACGAGGGAGGAAGAGGCAGCACGAGGGAGGAAGAGGCAGCACGAGGGAGGAAGAGGCCGCGGGACCGGGCCAAGGACGAGGACCGCTAGCCAGAGACCACGGGGGACTGAGGCCAGCGGGGAGAGCGGCACCAGTGAGGGGGCGCGCATTGATAGCGCGTGGAGGCGCGTGCGCGCCCGGGCTAGGCCCACCGAAAACCGGGATGTGCCGGCTCTTCCCCGCGGGTGCCCGGTGGCGACCCGTGGTCTGCAAGGGGCTGGCGGGACTGCAGCCCGGTCCCGGGACGGAGAAGGGCCTGGACGGAACCAAGGCCAGGGAGGACATCGGTGCCCCGCGGACTACGGGTTTTATCATGATTTTAATGGACCTTTTGTAAATATTTTATTAAATTTTATCCCCTTTTTATCCTCTTCCTGTTTTATTGATCACACCCCCTCAACAGACACTTTTTAACCTGTGACATATACTAGGTCTACATTAAAGTGGCAATATGTAAGATTTTCACGTCAAGTCATCATTAAATGGCCCTAATCTGTCAAAAGGCATTATTAAACCATTCTCTTTCCGAATACTTTTAACTGATCACAGTAGTTCAGCCGATATATTTGAATTTCAAAAATAGTTTTACAGCCCCTTGTTATTGTTTTAATTTCGATGTCCCGCCCTCCACAGCCAGAGCTCACCACCTCGAGCTGATCTCACTGGTAAAGTACCATGTGGCCGCAGTATGAAAAAAAGTCTTGTTATGGGCGGCACTGTGGCTGAGTGGATAGCACTCTCGCTTCTCAGCAAGAGGTTCCTGGGTTCGAATCCCGGTTGGAACAGGGCTTTTCTGAGTGGAGTTTGCATGTTCTCCTACACATACCTTTGCAAGTGTAGGTATGAATGTAATGAGAGAGTGAATGGATGGTGTTGGTTGGGGGCTGATGCGTCAGTGTGTTCGGCGACTCGCTTTTGTCATCACCGTGTGTGGAATGATTGAAACAATATCTGAACTCTGAACATTGTAAAGCGCTTTGTGTGACCTCGGTCTGTAAAAATGCGCTATATAAATAAACATTACTTACTTACTTGTTATGATTCTCAAATCTTTAATGACAAAACAAGGAATAAAACACAGACTGCTATCGGGGCCTTTGTGAAAAATGTGTTGGTTATAGATTTGTTGTTGTTAAAACTCTTATCTATTCAGATATTATGGTTTCAGCTGGATTTGTCTGCATATCTGGCAACCTGAGTCAGGGAGAGTGGGAGAGGTTGCAGTACCACTTTTGGCCAGATTTTTACATATTTGTCCTTTAATTAGCCTGGTTGTTCCACACCTTAGTACAAATTTCATTTCATACTAAGGTCTGGATTTGCTCCATTGAGCTCCGTGAACAGGTGGGAGGGGTTAACTCCTTTTGCAGATTGAAACGATTGGATCTGAGTTTACCGTTACATATGTAATGCGCCCGAGTGTGTTGTTAGAATTTAGCATTTAGCCTAGCCATCTCCTTTGCTGCTAACGGAGCCCGTGGGGAGTAGCGCCACAATCTTGACCAGCGATTACATTTGCTAAACATTCCTCTTGCTCCTGCTTCAATTTCTTGATAGAACCAGACCGGATTACTTTACTATCGCATTCTTCGCCACTGCCAAACTACAACCTCTTGACGTCACCGGCACCGACCTACAACACCCGCCTTCCGCGCTCTCTGAGTAGCCGGTCGAAATACGACCGATTGTATTCGCTAACACAGGGACCCAGACCCAGACGTTACATGCAGTGAAATGATGATTGAGCGGAGTGTACGGATTGCTATGGCCAGGCTACCTTTAATATATCTATTACAGTTCTATGGTCTTATGCATGTGTAAAATAGTTTTCAGAATGAACTCAACAGTGTTCAAACAGGGATAGAAAGAAGAGAACAGATGAAAAACAGATGTGGTACTACAGGAAGGAACTTATGCATCCATCAATATAAATCTCACACAGACAATAAAACACATGAAAGGTGACTTACCCTTGTTCATTTTGAGTATTTTGTTGGAGATTCAGACGTTACATTTTCTTTGACCTGTTGACAAAAGAAAAGTCTCTTAAGACCGTTGACTTTGGTTATAGTTGTCATTTCTTCAGGGACGTGTTTAATTAAATATGTAGTGTCGATTTTTCCAACTTAAACCAAAACAAATCAAAAGGCCACTCAGGCTTTTTTCAGGTTGCCAAATGTCCAAACAAAATTGAATTTTAGATGTTCAAGCAAATGGCAAACATGCAGAACTGCAGCCTCTCCTCTCGCTGGTAAAAAACCATATGCCCAAAACGCCTCTACGCTGTGCCCTCTACCCATAGCCCTATTTAACCTTGTGACCTAAATTAAATTAAATAAGCAATAATTAACCCAAAATTATCTTAGCAAACTTAGCAAAATGACTAGCTAAAGTAGATCATCAGTAGAATGAAAAAATAGTGGGTGACTTATTGCATCCACTTTCAGACAAAGAAACATGTCAATGCTTTGTACATATTAAACACAACTGACCCCATGCCCCTCCGCTCCTCATTCATCACACAAGTCCAGACTGGACTGGACCAGAACACTGAGAGCTGTTCAAACGACAGGCTCAACTTGATTTATGAAGAGGGTCCTTCACTTAGAACGTCTGTTTTCACTTTGAATGTCTTTGTGCTAAACTTGTGCCGAGGGCATTGGAAAGGCTTAAGCAGCAAAATCACCCGTCATGGTCATTTGCAAATGTGAAAAAAGGATTGACACTGATTTGATACTGTTTGCCTGGTTTCTCTTAACTGTTTGTTGCGTTTGCTGAAAGACGACAAAACAGATTTTTTTTAGTCAAGGAATTAGATTAGATTTGATAAGTGTGTATGAACATGAAAGTGTGCGGAGGTTCACCATGAAGAGACAGAAAAGAACTGGTCTCCTGCTGGTGCCCAGAGTCAGAACTGAACATGGGGAGACAGCGTTTCAGATTTATGCAGCTAAATTCTGGAACAGTCTTCCTGGAAATTTGAGACAGGCTTCTACTCTGATAATGTTCAAATCAAGATTGAAAATACTTCGGTTTTAGCTGTGCATTTAACTGAAGGATTGCATCTTCACTCTTTCCAACCTACTGTGGTTTTGTTAAGAACTTGAGAGATGTCTTGCATGAACTGTGCTATACAAAAAAACTTGTTGTTTTGCTCTAAAAGTCATGGATGATTCAGTTACACCACATTATTGAGTGAGTGTATGCGGTCTCCATGGCGATACTACAGTCTATACTCTATGTACAGTCTACATTTTGGTATACTGTCTGTTCCAATGTATACAAAGGTGGTTAGTACAAAACACAGCAATGAATTAATGCCATATTTAACTAGAAAATCACTCGTAGTGCACAGACCTCTGCCAATAGGCACAGTTCTAGATGGTGATTCAGTTCACCACCAAAATAAAAAATACTTGGTTCCTTGTTCTTTTCTGGGGCTTTCAGAAAATGTTTTTAAAATCACTTTTTGTGTTATATGCCTAACAGACAGACAGACAAACCCTGGTGAAAATATATCACCCCTAGCAGAGGTAATGTTCTTTTTAGCTGTGCATACAGCTGAAGGATTTTATTGATACATACTCTTTTTTTTTTTAATGCATTGTGTTTATTTATTATTTTAATCCCGTGTGTGCTTTTAATATTTTGAGGTTTTTTTTTTGCTTTTTTTGTTTTTTTTCCATTACTTGTGATTTTATTCTGTTTTTAATGTATTTATTGATGTCTCTGATTTGTCTGATATTATGTGGGTTGTGAGGCGCTTTGAGTGGCCTTGTGTTGGAAAGGCGCCATACAAATAAAGTTGATTGATTGATAATAAAACCATAAGGCACTAAACCAATCATTTTTCATGTGATGTTCCTTCCACCAGAAAAGTTACGCATTTCACCTTTACAGTTTTTCCCTATTGCTTTAACATTATAGACACATGCTTAGACCAAAGTTACAGAACCTGAAGCTTTTCTTCTAAACCTATAACACAGTCTAACCATTCCTTAATCAAAAGCACTGCTTTGCACTTTACTTTCATTTCTGCAACACTCTTTCTCCTGCTCACTATGCACTATGTCACACATAAGACACTTTGTTCATAAATGCAATCCTGCATTGTCATTGGGAAAACGCATCAATTCAAAATACCAAACACATTGTGTGATGGAAAACACTGACAAAATGTGACACACATCAGCCAGACACAAACAGGCCTCAGTTCGGACATTGTCACAGCTTTACAGTATTTACAGTACTTTATCACATGTACTGTAACTCTCTACTGCAGACTGTACCTACAGTATTTACAGTACTTTATCACATGTACTGTAACTCTCTACTGCAGACTGTACCTACAGTATTTACAGTACTTTATCACATGTACTGTAACTCTCTACTGCAGACTGTACCTACAGTATTTACAGTACTTTATCACATGTACTGTAACTCTACTGCAGACTGTATCTACAGTATTTATTTACAGTACTGTGTTGTATCACATGCACTGTATTGCAAGTTGGATTTAGCTCCTTTTGAAAAAATTTAGTTTTGTGAAACATACAATACAGTAAAGTACATAATACTGAGTTGCTAGAGTACTGTGTGCAGTACTGTATACAGTACTGTAAAAAACTAAACCTATAGTAACAATGTGTGGTTGCACATTTACGCAGAATGACTAGAAGACCTTCTCTAGGTGCTCAACGCCTGTTCACCAACAGGAAATAGTCTGAGGGACTGTGATCCACACAAGCACAATTAACTAGTTTTACATTAGAGGTTTGTTTGTTTTACTGCATTGACACACATGTAGTAAAAGTATTCTGTAGTACTGTGATGTACAGTATACTGTAGTACTGTGATGTACAGTATTGAGTTGATATTATTTGTACCTTTCAGTACTTCCTGGACGTTGGTAAACATTTGTTGAGAACAAAAATAGTTCCATTAAGCTTCACAGAAAACTAACTTATAAACAGAATACTAAAACAGTGAAAATGACTGCAGTGTTTTATATAAAGTACTGTAGTGTGTTGCTTCCAATCTGAAAGTGTGTTCACATGATGCAAGTGTGTATCATTTTGTCCTTGTTTCATTTTGACAAATTATTGTTTAGTTTTGATAGAGGAGTTTCATTTTGAGACAGATATGAATGGTTTATGTCTCAGCGTGTGTCAGGTTCTCTTGTATGTAGAGTTTTGGGACAATGAGCGAAATTTTGCTAAATGTGTTTACGTAAAAGGAAAAAAAACCTGTAATTTAGTTTAATTTAATTTAATAGTCGTTTTAAAATCCTTATCATCAAATTTGCATCAAGCACAGATATATGCAGTGTGTGGAATGTTGAGTTTCAATGCAAAGTCTTCAAACCTTGAGCAGAATCCATTGGAAGACGGAAGAACAAGTCATGATAAGTTTAGAGTCCTCTCACCTGAGGCTGTGGTGTCCGGTGCAGAGGCTCGACAAACACAGACGGCTTTTATAGCAAGGAGGTGTGGTGAACTTTACTCTGTCTAAAACTAAAGAGTCGTAAAACCCAACAACCGCACTGATAAGGGAGAGAAGAGAGGGACCTGTGCACGCCTGAAACTACAACAGGAAGTGATGTCATGAGGTTCTTGAAAGACGCTGTCATAGATCAACGTCTTCCAAGAAACTCATATTGACTCGCGTGGCTGCTCCTTTAGAGGAACCACGTGATTGGCTGCTACAAGTATCCACCCACAAGACTTTGAGGCAGACATAAATGATCAAAGTGGAACCAATGCTTTAAGAGTGTTGTCATAATACTGTATATTTTCTTACATTGGATTCAAGAGAAAAATTAGAAAAATAATCTTTGCATTTCTCCATAACCCTGAGTCCTGATACTATAATGGAAGACATGTAAACATATTTAATTCAATACAAGAATACTGCTCTCCTTCTTACTCCTTTTTGAACATGTGAAGGGAATAGACATTTTGTTTTTGTTTTATGATTATATATCAAGTTTGCACACATGTTTCAAAATAAACAAAATTTAAAGAAATGAAATACGGCCTTTGAAATAGTTGTGAGACTTGTGAATAAAGTGATAGTCTGTAACTCTAAATTAATTACAAATTTTAAGAATTGTAATAAATTGACCTCCTGGCCTTAAATGTTGATATAAAATAAGTCATTTTATTAATTCTAATATTACTGACAAGTCCCTCCTTCCCTTCTCTTAGCTATAGCTCAAAATCCACAATGCTGTCCACGTTAACCAATTGAGTCATGCCAAGGGCTGTCAATCATCGCGCTGATGTGTATTAATAATGTATATGTATAATGTGTTCTCTGATTAACATTTCAAAGTGTTACGGAAACGTGGGTGTAGACCAATCAGAAAGGAAGGGGAGGGAGCTTGCGTCATTTTTTTCAAATCAAGTACCCCTCTCTCTCTCTCTTTTTGACAAACTGCAGACAATCACTTTAAAGTGTGAGACTATATATTTAGGATTTTGCCTTCCTGTGAGCAGCACAGAATCTGAGTGGTTAGCACGGTCACTCAAGAAGGTGCTCAAGAAGGTGCTGCTTCCACTAAAAACATGTGCAATTGGTATGGAGTTAGGTGCAATACGTCAGAAAATGTTCTTCCCATTTTTCATATTCGACATGTTTTTTGTGTGAGGAATGTGATCAGAAAGATTCACTTCACATATTTCTGTATCTCAGTTATATTTACAGCGTGATAATAAGCCGCTTCATGACATTTGTGTGCGGAACAGGTACAAACGTGTATTATATTTGGTGCACGGTGTTGACAGCGTGACATTAGATTAAAGCTGACAGCCCTAAAATAGTTTGACTTGAACTGTTACCTGCTCTGCTCTAAGACACAAATGTGCAATCGTTTTACACCTGTTTTATATCAACATTGTGCTCACAAAGCTGCTTATGGAGAAATATAACTTGAGCACTGTTCTCTCCTCTCTCATACTTTATCTGTCAACATTATCAGC